GCTCAAGGGGTAGAGTGCTAACCTTGAGCTGAAGAGCTGAGGGACAGCGCCCAGGCCCAGAGTTCAGGCCCATGACCGACAAAAAAAAAAAAAAAAGGAGGAGAGGGAATGAAGGGAAAGGAAAGAAAAGGAAGGTTAGTGAAGAGAAGAGAGAGGGGGGGGACTTTTTGAAGGAGCCTGGCCTTGGAAGACAACTTTGAGGACAGCAAGGCCAGATCCAAGCCAATGGATGATGACTTGGCTGCTGTTGTAAGGGTCCAGAAAGCAGCAGTCAAATGAGGTGCCTGCTTGAAAGGAAAGGGGGTTAAGAGAAGGGCCAGGGGTCAGATGGGATGGGGAAGGATCCACGGTGGTGTTTATGGAGATTTAGTTGGGTGCCATTTGTTCTTCACCACAACCCAGGGAGGCACTATTATTATTCCCATTCTGTAGAGAGAAGGACTCAAAGTTGTGTCCTGCCCAGGATCACAGTGAGCCCACAGCCCCAACTAAGGAAAGGTAGCCACAGACACCACTGACCACCCTGTGCCTTGGCAGGAAATGGGAGGGTGGGGATCCCGGTGTGGCCCACCAGAAGACCCCTACCTGTCTGCTGCTGACCCCAGAGGGCACCTTTCACAGTTTTGGCTATACTGCCCGGGATTACTACCACGACCTGGACCCCGAGGAGGCGCGGGACTGGCTGTACTTTGAAAAATTCAAGATGAAGATACACAGTGCCACTGTGAGCCACTACAGGGCGGGGCTTTGGCCAGGAAGGCAAGACAGGGCTGGGAAGGGGCAGGGTTAGTGGAAGGTGGGACACATCAGGTGACCCCTGAAGGATGGCTAAGAGGGCCAGCTAAAGAGTGGCGGGAAGAACCCGGAGATGGGCAGTACTTTGTCACTGTAGGCAGGATTTATACTGGCAGGGCTCAGTGAACAAGGATTACAAGATGGACGGGACTGAGAAGAGGCAGGAGCAGAACTAACTTGGGACTGGGGTGAAACAGGGTTGGGAAACTCCAGGAAATGGGGCCGAGCTATGACCTCCTTCCTGCATACTGACCTGGTATCCTCCAGGATCTCACCTTGAAGACCCAGCTAGAGGCAGTAAATGGGAAGAAGATGCCGGCCCTGGAGGTGTTTGCCCATGCCCTCCGTTTCTTCAAGGAGCATGCTCTGCAGGTGTGCTGCTCAGCCCTGGGGCAGGGACTCCCGGGCCCTCCTATTCCCTACTGTCCCCTGTCCACAGTTAGGTCCTCACTATAGAGGTCACAGGCCATCTTTCCCTGTCTCTTGTCTTCCTGTCTGTAGAACCTGTACCAGAACCAGTGGGGAGGGGACATTCTTCCAACTCAGCTCGGAAGTCCTTCCTGGGGTTTGATTAGTTCCTCCAACTCCCAGAGAGGGTGGAAGATGCCCCTAGCCCGCTCTCCCCTGACTGTCCTCTCCTACTTCAGGAGCTAAGAGAGCAGTGCCCATCTCTGCCTGAGAAGGACTCTGTGCGCTGGGTGTTGACAGTGCCAGCCATCTGGAAACAGCCAGCAAAGCAGTTCATGCGGGAGGCCGCTTACCTGGTGAGGATGGGCCTGGGCTGGGGACACTGCCTGAGAAAGCTCTGGAGGCCCCACACTTCATTTCCCTGCCACCTCTGGGACCACCTAGTCGTTGAGCAAAGGCCTCCGGCCTTTCTGTGCTGGGAATTTGGGAAGGCTATTGTAACCAAGAAAGGGAACAGGCCTGCAGGAATAGGCAGATGGACAAGAGGCACAGCCCAGTGGAGACAAGGTCTTAAGTCAGGTTTTCTAGATAGAAGCAGAGCCTATGATGTGTGTGTGGGGGGGAGGGTATCTGTTAGCTTTCGGGGGGGGGGGAAAGAGGTAGGAAGCAGGAAATGAGAGAGCTGGGCAAGGGTTTGTTTTACTGGGGTCCACCCTGAGCCTGAGCACACAGGAGCTCTGAGGGAGAATTTAGAAGAACCGGCTACAGTGAAGCAAGGGTCTCCAGCAGTCATTGATCGCTGGGGGACTGAGAGGGACACCTGATCAATCAGACTGGTTCCTATTGGGCTGTGAAAGTTGCGCAAGAGCAGGAACAGCTGTGTACTCTCAGCAGCCAGGCCTCCTGGCAGCATGTAAGACACCAAGAATGCCCACTTCCGCTGCCAGTGGACTTTCAGGAACACTCCTGCCCCGGCCCCAGTCACTGTAGGTTCCTGAACAGAGGAAAAGGACTGTGAAACTGAAAGGACTGACTGTGGCCAGTATGTGCTGGTCTTCCTATCACAGAAATGCCCAAAGGTCAGGGGAAAGGTTGGCGGGGAGGGTCAGGGGCGCTCAGACACTATCCTCTCCAGTGAGGTCAGAGGAGTTACAATTTCACAGGCTTGGCCTTGCCCTTGGGATTTGCCTGTGGGCCCCCTTAGAGATTCCAAGGTCCCCAGTACATCTGTACCTGTGGCCAGGTATCATTCAGGCATTTGGTCTGTAAGGATGCCAATCCCTGGGAGGAGCTGGCAGGGGGCCCCGTGGGTATACCTGCAGGGATCAGGGGGGAAGCAGGGCTATCATCAACCAGAATAAACAGCCCCACCCTAGCATCCCCCTGCCCACTTACCTACCCTGCCTTACTTACCACCTTACTTCCCTCATGCCAGCTCAGGAAGGGCTAGCCCAGGATGGACAGTCTGCCTCCCCCACCTGGTCAGAATCTAGAAAACCCCACAAACCCTAAAGGACTTCCCAAAGGGATCCCCTGCTCTGGTGCAGGAAACAATAGAACCCAAGTGTCTCCCCTCTCCCACTGGCCTCACTTAGTGCCTGCAGTTTCACTCTTACCTTCCTACGATAGCAGATTGTCTGGGAACAAAGTTCTCCTGGGAATGGGGCGGCCTGTGGCCAGTGTCTAACACCAGCCTGGTGAGCCGTGGGGTGGCCCCGCAATCTCCCCTGTGCACTGCATCCTCCATACTATGCCAGAGTCCCAGCTAACATCCCAACCAGTGCTTGGCTGAGCAGCCCTGCACCTGGGAAGGGGAACCTTGCTGCAGCTACACCTTTCCCTCATGCTGGGCAACCCTTTTGCCATGGCCATGTCCTTTTCCAGCCTGGTTACGTGGTAGCTGTGAGGCAGCTCTAAGCATGCAGCATGAAGGGGCCTCGCAGTCTGGTATGGGTGGGATATGATGCCAGAGGAGGAGGTGGGAGCCCCAGATACTTTCTTAGGTGGCAGCCCATTATGGTGTCCCATCCATCCATCCCCATCCCCAGGCTGGCCTGGTGTCTCGAGAGAATGCAGAACAACTACTCATTGCCCTGGAGCCAGAGGCTGCGTCTGTCTACTGCCGAAAGCTACGTCTACACCAACTCATGGACCTGAGCAGCCGGAACCCTGGCACCGGGCGCCTGGGTGAGCGCCGCTCCATAGACTCCAGCTTCAGGCAGGGTAAGCACCTCCAGGGATCCTGCCCAGCACTGGACTTGGAGGCATTTGCCCTTAGAAGGTCCAAGGCATAGGAAGATCAGAGGTATTTTGGATGCAAGGAAGAGAGCTGTTAACCTGGAGAAGCCCAATCTGAAGGGACAGAAACATCCTGGTAGAGTTCAGTCTGTGGGGGAAACAGGGCACTGGCTCTAGGAGCCCATAGATCATGTTGCCCAAGGCAGCAGGGTCTGAGAAAGGCAGGACTCAGCACTGAGTCTGAGTATGGGAGAGGCTTAGCTTTCCCTGTGGGCACTGATGAAGAAGAGAGCCAGCCCCCCCCTTTTTTTAAACCAGTCCTGGGGCTTGAACTCAGGGCCTGGGCACTGTCCCTGAGCTTCTTTTGTGCATGGCTAGCATTCTACCACTTAAGCCACAGAACCACTTCCATCTTTTTCTGTATATGTGGTACTGAGGAATCAAATCATGCATGCTAGGCAAGCACTCTAACACAAAGCCACATACCCCCCGCCTTGCCCCCACCCACACTCCTCTTTACGAAAGTCACTTGCATCCACTGTTGTCTTCTATCAGCCCCAGCCCTATTCCTCAGCAGCTCCAAGCTCCTGATTCCAGGACCAGGCACTGAGGCCACCAAATGCTGATCTTGATCATCCTCCCAAAGGACATCTTGAGTGAGAAAGAGATCAGGCTCCCAGTGTCCCCCAGCCTAGCTCCTCAGAGTCCTCCTAGTTCTGACTGTGGCCTGATTCTAGTTGGGTTAAAGGAAGGTCTTGGGTCCAAAAAAATACTTCCTCCAGCTCTTGGATGCAGAGCCTAGGGTTTGGAGTCAGCATTGCCTCTCATAGAGCGGGCACATAGGAGTTTCAGTGCTGGTTGCTCCAGGTGCTGGGAGGTGGGTGGGAGGGGAGCTTGGCAGGAAGATGGAGTTGAAGATGGTGGTAGTTCCTTCTAATCTCACTCTTCTCTCCTCCAAACCCAGCCCGCGAGCAGCTGCGGAGGTCCCGGCACAGCCGCACATTCCTGGTTGAGTCAGGTGTAGGAGAGCTGTGGGCAGAGCTGCAAGCAGGTGAGGAAGCACATTCACCCCCTCAGTGCCTTCCTCACAGCCTCCTGAGCAGACCCCACCCTACTCATAGCTGCACCCCCAAATCCACTCCTTCAGAGTCTCTGCAGACACATGGATGAACCATTTCTAACCCTCTAGATTTTTTTCTCCCACACCTTGAGCTCCTATTTGATAGCCTGGGGTTCAAGCACCTGAAATCACAGACACACACAGAGACACAGACACATACACAGGCTGGTCTTGGGACCTGGGGCAGGGGTGGGGGCTGGAGGAGTCCCTGGGTGAGGAGACAGTGTGTTCCTGCCCTGGCCGCTGCAGGAGACCGCTACATGGTGGCAGACTGCGGCGGGGGCACTGTGGATCTGACCGTGCACCAGCTGGAGCAGCCCCACGGCACGCTCAAAGAGCTCTACAAGGCGTCGGGTGAGCGCCCTCGCTGACCGTCCCCCGCCCCCCCCCGCAGCGCGTGCCGGCCCCGCCATCGCCCCCTGGCGGCCCAGTGGGCACTGACACCCTCCCCGTCCTCTGCCCCACCGCAGGCGGCCCCTACGGCGCGGTGGGAGTGGACTTGGCCTTTGAGCAGTTACTGTGCCGCATCTTCGGCGAGGACTTCATCGCTACCTTCAAAAGGCAACGGCCCGCAGCTTGGGTGGATCTGACCATCGCCTTCGAGGCCCGCAAACGCACGGCGGCCCCACACCGCGCGGGGGCACTCAACATCTCGCTGCCCTTCTCCTTCATTGACTTCTACCGCAAGCAACGAGGCCACAACGTGGAGACCGCCCTTCGCAGGAGCAGGTGGGCAGTGCGGGGAAGGGGGAGGCTCGGGCAGAATGTGCTGATAGGAAATGCCCCTGCAAGAGTCTTGAGCTCCAGCGGATGGGGGAAACTGCCCACCTGATCATAAGCAAAACACAGTGACAGGGATGGGAGTACTCAGAGCAGCAGATGCTGCATCTAGAGCAGGAGCCCGCTGCCCAAACTTGGCAAGGGGGAGTCATGGGCCAGGGGTAAGGGGAAGTGCGAGTGTGCATTTTCTCCCTGCCCTGCCCTAGCCTGCCAGCCAGTGCTGCACAGAGCAAGGTCATTTCTTGGGGTTGAGAATAAGGACCTTTCACACACACAACTCACAGTCCTGGTCAGACAGGGGTAGGGAATGAAGACGACAAGTTGCAAGCCCCCCCGTAAGCAGCTGGACTCTGACCCATGGGCCTGTGCTCCCTCCTTTTTTTGGTCACCTACAGTGTGAACTTTGTAAAGTGGTCCTCACAAGGGATGCTCCGGATGTCTTGTGAGGCCATGAACGAGCTCTTTCAGCCCACGGTCAGTGGGATCATCCAGCATATAGGTGAGTGTCTGGGCTCAGTCCCTTCATTTAGCTCTAGATTTGGGAATAAGTTCTTTCCTCAGTACCTGGAAATTACCACACCTCCCAGGACTGGGATGAGACCCACAGTTATCTATAAAAGCTGTACTGGGCGATGCAGTGGTAATCAATAGCTACAAGGATCATGGGCTGGGAAGGTGGCTCAGTGGTAGAGTGTTTGCCTTGCATGCATGAGGCCCTGGGTTAGATTCCTCAGCACCACCTAAGCAGAAAAAGCCAGAAGTAGCGCTGTGGCTCAATTGGTAGTGCACTAGCCTTGAGTTGAATTGCTCAGGGACAGTGCCTAGGCCTACCTAGAGTTCAGGCCCCACAACTGACAAAAGAAAAAAAAAAGAGCTAGGAGGACCATGTGTAGTCCTGCCAGGTTAAAGAATCTCTACCACCTCAGTTTCCCCAGCTGTAAAATAGGGTGTTAGTACTGGGTTCCCCTAAAGGCTATCAAGGGACTAAATGAGTTTTGCGTTTAGTGGATACATTGACCTGCAGGCACTTGATACTGTAAATGCATGTGTGTCCTGATTCCTCACCCTCCACTGGAGAGAAGGGAATCTGGGAGTGTTAGGTGGAGTGCTGTGAGTATTGTCTTCACCTGAGAGAAAGGCATCCAGAGTTTTATGTCGTTTCTGTTTGGGTTCTTTTTCGGGGAGGGGGGGAGGGACTTAAACTCAGGACTCCAGCTCTGTCCATAAGTTTTTTTGCTCAAGGCTAGCACCCTACCTCTTTGAGTCACAGTCTCCATGTTTTCTTTTCTTTTCTTTCTTTCCCTCTTGCGCTCGGAAAATTGGAGATGAGTCTCATGGACTTTCCTCCTGGGCTGGCTTGGAACCACCATTCTCAGATCTCAGCCTCCTGAGTAGCTCGGATTGCAGGCCAGAGCCACCAGCACCATGAGGCATTCAGTGTTGTTTTTTGTTGGTGGTGTTTTGCTTTTTGTCTTTAGTCCCAACATAGTTCAAAGGTCTAGCTTTTAGTGCGGGGGAGGGGACATCGCCACCAAGCAGCGGCCTTAGAGGCTTTTTCTCTCCTCCCCACTCCCCACTGCCCCGCAGAGGCGCTGCTGGCGCGGCCCGAGGTGCAGGGCGTGAAGCTGCTGTTCCTGGTGGGCGGCTTCGCCGAGTCTGCGGTGCTGCAGCACGCCGTGCAGGCGGCGCTGGGCGCCCGCGGCCTGCGCGTGGTGGTCCCGCACGACGTGGGCCTCACCATCCTCAAGGGCGCCGTGCTCTTCGGCCAGGCCCCGGGCGTGGTGCGGGTGCGCCGCTCGCCGCTCACCTACGGCGTGGGCGTGCTCAACCGCTTCGTGGCCGGGCGCCACCCGCCCGACAAGCTGCTGGTGCGCGACGGCCGCCGCTGGTGCACCGACGTCTTCGAGCGCTTCGTGGCGGCCGAGCAGTCGGTGGCGCTGGGCGAGGAGGTGCGGCGCAGTTACTGCCCCGCGCGGCCCGGCCAGCGGCGCGTGCTCATCAACCTGTACTGCTGCGCCGCCGAGGACGCGCGCTTCATCACCGACCCGGGCGTGCGCAAGTGCGGCGCGCTCAGCCTGGAGCTCGAGCCCGCCGACGGCGGCCCTGATGGCACCGCCGCAACCCCCGGCCGCCGCGAGATCCGCGCCGCCATGCAGTTTGGCGACACCGAGATTAAGGTCACTGCCGTCGACGTCAGCACCAATCGTTCCGTGCGTGCCGCCATCGACTTTCTCTCCAACTGAGGGCGCCCTGGCGCGGCGCCAGCCCCCTCGGCCCGGCCGGCCCGGCGCGGCCCCGCCCTCCTCGTCCCCGGGTTGGGGGAGCCGGCTGGGGGCCGAGGAATGCGCGGCTTCTGAGGTCAGCGCCCCTTGCCCCGCCCCCCAGCTCGGGAGAGGTGAGGTCATGGGGGCGGGCGCTCGCCTTGGGATAGGGCCTTGGTCCTCTGACTGAGGCTAAAGGGGAATGGGAGGCCTCGAGGAGGTTTGCCTGCGAGCGCAGTCCAGGTGATGGCCTCGATTTCTGGGATATGTCAAGTGAGGTAGGCACCAGGTGGGGCCGTGGGAAGGAGACTGCAGGGCCTGGACCTGAGGGACGGGTCTTCACTAATTGATGGGCTCCAGTCATGAGGAACCAGGCAGAGCGACACCATACCGCAGGAAAATGACAGTGGACAGAGGGACACGAGTGTAATAACACCGTCCGGGATGTGGTGCTGACCGCCTAAGAATGACTGTTGTAGAAAGGTGGTAGTTACTCCTGGGAGGGTATGTTATGGTGAGGGCAGTTTTGAGGGGATATGGGAATAGCCGGGAAGTGGGGGTAAGGCAGCCTATGAATAACCCACCTGCTCCCACGGAAGCCATGGGGGCCGGGCCCAATCTGCCATTCATAGGTGTGCCATTAGGGAAGATTCCCTGGTCACCATGGGCCTCACTTTCCCCAAGTGTGAGATGGGGCACTTCCCTCCAGCAAAGACATGCAACAGCTCCACCTGCCTGAGAACTCACCCGAAAGTGACAATAAAGCATTATGTTCCAGGGGAAGCTACAGCCTGCTGGTGCCCTGTGAGTAGAGACCCCAATAATGGGAGTAGGGTGAGAGGCATATGTGCCAAACACAGGAGTTTCAGCTGCACGCAGGGAAGGAAGTGGCCAGAAGGGGATGCTGCTTTCTCCCTGTCAACTACGCCAAACAGCTTCTCAGGATTCTCTAAGGCCAGGGCAGGAGGCTGCTCCCCATCCAAACTCACTGGGCAACTGGGTCTGAGGCCTAAACTACCTCGGAGGACCTGTACACTTCCTTCTGGGGCAGCACCCCTGCCTCCTGAAAGTATAAGTTTACCCAAGTCTGTTGTTGGCTCATCTGTGAGGGACTGGGCAGTCTTGGTACCACAGAGGGGAAAAAAAAAAAAAAAACAACAACAACCCTGTATCCACTGGAAGTTTTATTTAAGGTTCTGTTCCAACCAGTCATTTAAAAACCAAGTAACACAGACCTGAGGGGTAGGAACTGGGAACCGAGCCTCCCTCCTACTCTTGTGGGCAGCAGTCAGAAAGGAGGAGGGGTGGGAAAGGTGGCTGAGGTGAGATAGCAGCAGCAGCAGCAATGGGGGTGGGGGGTCGACATCACAGAGCCACTCTGTCATCTCCCAGACCCAGGCCGGAGCCCCTAAGGCTTGGGGTGGAGAGTGGGTAGATCCCACACCAGGCCCTCCTGTCCTCTCCTCAGATACCCACCTTGGGAGCTCAACCTATTTCTTCCAGCAGGAGACTGAGGCACATGAAGAGGAGGAAGTGGGAGAGGAGGACAGAGGAAAGGCAGGGTGGTGGCAGAATGAAGGCAGAGGTGAGAGGCACTAGGCCCGGCCTAGGCGGTGGACATGCCATTCCCATGCCGACCCTAGGGAGGGGTAAGGAAGCCACATCATCACGCAGCATGTTGGGAGAGGAGGCAGGGTTTAAGGCTGAGAAGCCCCAAGGCAGGCTGGCCTCAGTCGAAGCCATGCCAGTCGCTGTGCTCTGAGTCATACTCCAGTTCGGCACCCACACACTTGACACCATCCAGCAGCATCGGTGTACCATGGTGCCGGTCTGCAAATTGGGATACGGGTTGGACTGTGGTTCACACCCTGGTCCCGTCCCCCCATGGTCTACTCCAAGGAGATCCTTACCCCCAATCAGCTGGGCTTTGTGGGGAGGCCCCCACCAGAGGCTGAAGCCCTAAATCGGCAAAGAAACCTCTAGGCCAATCTTACTCCTCTTCCCTCTCACCAGATGCCAGCCTCCTCACTCACCCATGACCCGCGCCTGCACCATCACACGCACGCAGGCACCAGTGCCTCCCTCACAGGCCAACAGCATCTCCTCTTTCAGGACGCCCTCCTTGTGTGCGGAGTACTCGCACTTGATGCTATAACCTGCAGGGGGACAGGGACGGGCCGATTGGTACCTCCCACACTTCCCAAATTGTCTCCTGTAGCCATGGGGCTCCACCCACCAGAAAGGGGCAAGGATGGCCCTTCCAGAGACCCAACTGCACAAGGGGGGCACCTGGACTTGGGAAACTTTCTTCAATAATACGGTGTTGAAGACTAACATGGCTACAAGGGGGAGGCAGGCTCCAACCCAGGCTTCCAAGAGGTTTGCTTCCACACAAAGGGAGTGGTGATAAAGAATGGGGGGAGGGGATGGGAAGGTGGCTCAGTGGTAGAGCGCTTGCCTTGCATGCATGAGGCTCTGGGTTTGATTCCTCAGTACCACATACACAGAAAAGCTGGAAGTGGTACTTGTGGCTCAAGTGGTAGAGTGCTAGCCTTGAGCAAAAGCAGCTCAGAAACAGTGCCCAGACCCTGAGTTCAAGCCTTGGGACTGGCAAGAGAGAGGGAGAGGGAGAGGGAGAGGGTGGGAGAGGGAAAGAGAGAAAGCAAGCAAGCAAGCTTTGAGTGGGTCAAGTGGCAAAAGGCAAAGCAAAAGCTTGAGGGGTTTTCCTCAATCCACTAAGTGCCAAGTCATGAATGGGGGAGCATGGAACTGAAGCTGGGGCAATGGGCAGCACACCACAAAACTGATACTCTAGCCTCTTCCAGGCTGGAGTAGGGGTGTAACATGACCTAAAGCCAGCTGGGTAGAGAGAAACAGCCTAAGATCTAAGGTGAGCACTAGAAGTCAGCTACCCAGAGTCCCTGCAGTTCCAACCTTGCTCTCCAGGGGGAGAGGGCTGACCAGGCCCTCAGTGGCCTCCCCACTGAGGAAACCATCAGCCAGTGGGCATATGTAGCCCTGCAAAGTTGCCACACTGCAAACTCGTAGTGGTACCATGTCCCTGACTTAGTGAACTGCCTAACCCCCCCATCGCCACACTCTCATTCCCTCTCACAGCCAGGACCACTGGATGAGGGCAGGCCTTCAGCAGCCCAGGTGACATACCTTCAGGAATGGGCATGACACTGAGGAGCCTGAGGTGCAGGCTGGGGACAGGTGCCTCATGGATGTCTTTGCTCAGCCTGAGCACGGGGGGCAGAGTGAAGGTAATCTCATACCTGTGCAGGATCTTCAGGAAGCCAACCTGCAGCAGGAGAAGAGAGGGAAGAGGCACCTTCACTTACTGCTTCATCCAGGGCCCATCCAGGCTGTGCTACCTATAATCCCAGCACTTGCTTCCCTGGGAGTCCATTACTCCTACATTACTTCATCTGGTCCACATCCCTAATCAGATGGCTCCAGGTCCTGTGACAGAATCTCCCAAGAACCAACCAGCACAATCCAAAGCATGTGTGTCAGAGGCCCACAGTCCTCATAGATGAGACACATGGAAACCACATTGTGTGACTAGGGAGAAGTCTTCCCTAGACTTTTGACCATTTCTTACCTGCATGGCACACAGCATGTCACCAACCACTGCCCCAGAGGGCAGTGACAAAGTCCTATGACATAGATCACCTACCTACTCTCACCATTCTAGCACTTGCTCAGAGGCAGTAGCTCAGGGTCAGGGATGCTGGTCCTCCAGACTTTCATGTGGAGACACTTTGCAACACAGCATGAGATTGAGGGGAGGAGAGGGATTCAATAAATAAGACCCTAGGGTCTAGGGATGTAGCTCAGGAGTAGTGTGCTTAGCGTGTGTGAGAAGCTGAGTTCAATCCCCATAAACTGCCAACAAAAAAGAAAAGGAGGGAGGGGGGAAGGCTAGACCACAGCTGGCCCCAGACTTGGCATCAATCACAGAGCTCAGACTCTAGACTGATCACAGATGCCTGCCTGCTGACCCGAACGCTCAGTGTGCCCAGCAGTCTACGCTGTCCGTGCAGTGGTTGGCAACCAATATCCCTCTGGGACAGATGCCATCCTTAGAAACTCCAGAGATGTGAAGGGTCATAGGTTGAGGTGGCTGCTAAGTAGGGGGTCTGGCAAGGGGTGCCAGTCTAGTAGGCCCAGCTGAGTATATAGTTACAGGAGCTGAACAGCCTCACCCCAGGGAGCAGGTTACAGCCTCACCCCAGGGAGCAGGTTACAGCCTCACCCCAGGGAGCAGGTTAGGAGTGGAGTCTTTTGATGAAACCAGGCTGATGTTACCACGTGATAAACTTTACTCCATGTGACCCCTATATCACATTCTGCTATTGGAGGGTACACCACTCAAGAAAGCTTTGTGGCTGTACCTGTTTGCTATAACCTGTAACCCAACTGTACTACTTGCAGAATCTTCCAGGAAGGATACTCAGAGATGTGCAAAACAATACTCATTAGTGCCCTATTTATAACAGAGAAACAAACCACCGTAACACCCAGGAACAGGAAGCAGCCAAATCAATGTGAGGCACAGTCTGGAGGGTCAAGCAGGAATAAAATCTTGTAGAAAATTATTTTCTGACACAGACAAGAAGCAGTTCACAGACAGATGCCAGCAAAATAGCATGTCCATGGTGATACCAGCTCTTTGTTTTTGGAAATGAAGCTTAAAAAAAAAAAAGGGCTAGAATGACACATATCAAAATAGCAACCATGATTACAGTGCAACTGGCTAATTTTAAATTTCTTTTAATTTATTTTTTTTTAGGCAGTGCTGAGAATCAAGCCAGGGCCTCACACATTCTAGGCAGAGTCTACTACTGACCTATATCCTTAGCCTCGCTATTTTTTTCTATCTTCCAAATTTTCTCTAGTATACATTTTGCAATAAAGTGACAGTACTACTTTTTTTAAAAATTGTAGTTCATGCTATTTATTTCCTTGGAGAAAACTGTCAGCTACAAGGGAAAGAATAACAACTTTAGAGTTGAAGAGAAATCTGGGCCCCTCTCTAAGGACAACCAGCTACTTCTCAGGGCTTTCACCAAAGACCAGACCTCAGTCCCACCCTGCACAGGGCACTCCTGCTCAGACCAGGACCCCTGACTGATTGATCAATCTGTTTTCCCCAACCCACCCTCTCTAGAGTTCTTTCTGCCTCTTCCAAGTGGATATGAGGCACTAGAGTGTACACTGAAGACCCCTGTCAGGGGTAAGGTGTGGCTCTAAGGAGAAGGGGGTGTTCCACTAAATAGAGAACGGGGTGAGGGCAGGTATACAGCTCAGAGGCACACTATATGTGTGGCATGCATAAGGCTCTGGATTCTATCTAAGCACAAAATAAAATGTGAGTGATTTAAAAAAATACAAACTACAAGGTAGAAAAAATAACCTGTGCAATAAAATCAGGGTGGTGGCATGGCTCAGCAGTAGAACACCTGCCTAACAAGTGCAAGGCCCTAAGTATAGCCCCGGAATAGCCAAAAAATAAAGGAGAAGAAAAATAAAAGCTGGTTATGGCACATGTCTATGGTCCTAATGATTCTCAAGGGTGAAAATAAGAAGCTTGTCCTGGGCTGGGAAGCTGGCTCAGTGGTAGAGTGCTGGCCTCGCATGCATGAGGCCCTCTGTTCGATTCCTCAGCACCACATAAGCAGAAAAAAGCCAGAAGTGGCACTGTGGCTCAAGTGGTAGGGTGCTAGCTGAAGAGTTGATGGATAGCGCCCAGGCCCAGAGTTCAGCCCCCATGACCGACCAAAAAAAAAAAAGCTTGCCCAGGCAAAAATGCATACCCCATCTTAAAAAAAAAATCATAAAAAGCAAAAAATGTCCATGGCTCAAGTGGTAGAACACTTGCCTAGCAAGAATAAGACTGTCAGCCAGGCTCTGGTGACCCACACCTATAATCCTAGCTAATAGATCTAAGGATTGAGGTTCTCTGATCTCCAATTAACCACTAGAAAAACAGAAGTGGTGCTGTGGCTAAAAGTAGTAGAGCTCTAGACTTGAGCTGAAGAGCTCAGAGACAGTGCCTACGCCTAGAGTTCAAGCCCCATGAACAACAACAACAACAAAAGGTATTTCTCTCATCAGTTCTGCCATCTTTCATCTTACGGATGGAGAAACCAAGGCAAAGATGTGTTTGAGTCCGGTTGAGGGAAGGAAGTAATGGGTGGAAGACGCCCAGCAGAAGCAGGAAGGAAGGGGACGGAGGGATCTATGATGGAGGAGACATGTACCTACCTTAACCAGAAAGCTGCTTTCACTCTCCTGAGTGACCATGACCACTGAGTCATGCAGCTTCTCATCAAAATGGACATGGCCCTGGGAGCCTTCTGCATCATGGCTTGCCGCAAAGCGGATACTCCGGACTCTGGGCTTGTTGCCTAGAAAGAGTGGGAGAGGAATCCAGGGGCCACTAGCTTTCTCTTTCCCAGCAAACCATGTCCCTTGTTCCCCAGCTGTCCTTGATATCACCCAGCATCCACTGGCAAGCTCCTTCCTGGCTGAGATGGACAATGGTGGACATAAGGCTTGAGGACCTTCATTATGCCCTACCTGCCCAGTACTCCCACAAAATTCTCCCTTCAGCATAGAAATGGTGGGGGTAGGAACTTGAGGCTGGATGATAAGATTCCTCACTTGGAAGGGAGGAAGCTGGCATCAGAGACAAGAAGACACAGTCCTCTTGGCCTTCCCCTTCTGCCCAGCCAGTACAGGGCTGGGCCTCTGCATGTCCTGTCCCAGCCTTTCCTAGAGGGAGCCAAGCTCACCATGCCTGGCATCTTTTCTCCCAGGTCTTTCCTGCCTGTGCCTCCTGATGACCCCAACCAGTATAACATGGGGAGGGAAAGGAGGAGGGAAGCTCAGGTATAGGAATGTACTCTTGGGGACTTGCTTGCAGTGGGAAAAATGGAAGTGAAAACTCATACTATGCCATGCTGTAGCTGCTACTAAAGCTAGCTGCTCACTGGCAGGTAAGAAGGAAAAAGTTGACTCAGGCATTAGTGGCTCACTCCTGTAATTCTAGCTATTCAGGAAGCTAAGATCTGAGGATCACAGTTTGAAGCCAGCTCAGGCAGGAAAACCCCACACCCTCCCCTCCACCCCCCCCCCCAACCATGTCGTAAGTCTTGAACTCTGCGCCTGGGCCCTGTCCCTGAGCTCTTCAGCTCAAGGTGACTGCTCTACTACTAGAGCCACATGCCACTTCCTGTTTTCAGGTGCTTAATTGGAGATAAGAGTCTCACAGATTTTTCTGCCCTGGCTGGCTTTGAACCTTGACCTTCAGATCTCAGCCTCCTGAGTAGCTAGGATTATAGGCGTTAGCCATGGGTACCCGGCTCTGTGAGACTCTTCTCTCTAGTTAAGCACCTAAAAGCCAGAAGTCTAGATGTAGTAGAGCATTAACCTTGAGCACACATGCTCAGGGACAGAACAGGCCCGAAGTTCAAGCCCCATGACCAAAAACAACCACCAAAAACAAAAAGAAGAAGAAGAAAAAAGCTGGAGAGCTTCCTAGCACTCCACACCATTTTCTCCCCTGCTTAGCCCCTGTTAAAGCTCTTGGCTGTCCCTGAGCTGGCCAGAAAGGGCAGAGGTTTAGACAGGATGAGTGGTAAGGTAAAGAGCCAACAGAGGGCCTGGTCTGCATGGACACTCACCCTTTTCCCCTTTGATCCTCTAGCCAGGGATGGGGAACATCCAGCCCATGAGCTGTATAGGTCATTTGGTACATGATAGGACAGACACATACACTTTTGGAATGCTTCATGTCATTTACCATTTGCCTGAATTAAGAATTTTGTATGGGGCTGGGAAGGTGGCTCAGTGGTAGAGCGCTTGCCTTGCATGCATGAGGCCCTGGGTTCAATTCCTCAACACCACATAAACAGAAAAAAAAAGCCAGAGGTGGTGTTGTGGCTCAAGTGGTAGAGCGCTAGCCTTGAGCTGAAGAGCTGAGGGACAGTACCCAGGCCCAGAGTTCAGGCCCACGACTGGACCAAAAATAATAAATTAAAAAAATAAAGAAAGACAGAATTTTGTATGGCCTGCAAACAATGTTATAAATAACCAAATGGCCCTTGTCTGCTAGTCTCCTTCTCCTCCCTCATTATCCCTTAGGCCTCCAAGAGCCTCAACTAAAGTCCTCTGGGTGGAAGGACTTAGGGTACCTTTGGTCTGGGATCCTGAATACTTAGCAGAAGTCCTCTAGATTGTTACCAGAGTTTAGATTCCCTTTCAGAGCTTGCTGTGGCCCTATCCACCTCCCCAGTCTTGGGACACATCACAACCTTGAATGTCCCCTACCCCTTAACAGTAGAATGAAAGATGGCACAGAAGCATATGCCTCTGAAGAACAGCAAGGCAAGGAGACAGCAGGGGTCCCTGCCAGGGTCTGGGTAGTCCCAAGGACCTAGAATAAACACTAGCATATTCTTTTTGTCGTTGGTGGTGGTCATGGGGCTTGAACTCAGGGTCTGGGCACTGTCCCTGAGCTCTTTTTGCTCAAGCCTATGCTCTACCACTTTGAGCCATGCTCCACTTTCAGTTTTTGAGTGGTTAAATGAAGAGTCTCATGGGGACTTTTCTGCCCAGGCTGGCTTCGAACCACAATCCTCCAGATTTCAGTCTCCTGAGTAGCTAACATTACAACCACCGGTGTCCGGGCTACACTAGCATATTCTGAATGACGCTGAGTCTCACACCCACACTTAAGGCTGAAGGGGACCTAGCCGGAAACGCTTTCAGACAAGGAAAGCACTCACCCTTGTTGGCTGCAGCCATGGACGTCCTCCCTACCACCAAGCAAGACACACAGCTCCTGCCAGACACCGCCACTCAAGCTCAGCAGCCTCCCATGCTCCAGAGACACCAGTAGGAGCCTGAAGGATGAAGAAGAACAAAGGTCAGGACCACACAGGAGCCAATGGCTGGGGAAGAGCAGAAGACTCCCTATAGGAAAGACCCAAACCTCTGCTGCTCTCAGCAGCCACACGGGTCCAAATCCTCTGACATTGGGCCTTCTGCTCAACCCCTTATGCCATCACTCACATACTCAAGAGCCCTCACCCCTGCCTGAAACCCTACCAACCTAGAGCCCTGCCTGCATATGCTAAGGTTCCAGATGGGCACAGGATGCATGTGCCCAGCCAACCTGAGGCTAGCAGGAAGGACCATCTAGAAAGAAGGAGGGCTTTACTGGTATTTTTCAGAGGCCATTTGTAACAATGTTGATCACAAAGGGTCGCAAGAACCACATTATTCAGGTCACACACCGGTGCAGCTGGGCACAGGTCAGTCAACAGTACGTTTGAAGGTGGGCAAAAAAAGAGGACAGCATAAAATGAACGTATCCTAGTATTCAACCAGGACTATATACAGAACTGAGGCCCATGAGAGGTGCCCATAATCTGAACCTGCCATGCAGACCTGGCCTGAATCTCAGGGTGGCCTCTCAGATTAGCTGTCTCAGGGCAGCAGTAAACATAAAGCACCCCAGGAAGCCTCTGGTGGGCTGTGCAGGACCGATTCAAGCATCAAAACGAGTAATGAGCACAAGTGATGAAAACAGATGGAATACAGAAAACCAGAGCATTCACAGAGATTACAAAAAAGAAGAAAGCAAAACAAACAAACCCAAACCCTCATGTGTCACTACTGACAATAGCAGTGTCTTAACTCTTTGCTCTGAGAACTGGAGATTAAAGAAAAATAATTCAGCCTGTTTCTTGGTCTTTTTGTAAACCAACTATTCTGGTAGTGATGGAAAGCTCTCTTCACAGGCAATTTGTTGCTGATAAATAACAATGGAATGGCCAAATGCCAAGTCATTCTGCACCTCATAAAGAAACAAATGACAAGCCAGTCACTGGTAGTTCATGCTTATAATCCTAGTCACTCAGGGGGCTAAGATCTGAGGATGGTGGCTTGAAACTAGCCCTGGCAGAAAAGTCTGTGAAACTGTTATTTCCAATAAACTACTCAGAAAAAGCTGGAAATGATGCTGTGGCTCAAGTGGTAGAGCACAAGCCTTGAGCAAAAGCTCAGGAATAGTGCCCAGGCCCTGAGTTCAAGCCCAAGGACCTGCACCCAAAAAAATTTTTAATTAAAAAAATAATAAAAAGAAACAAATGTCAAAGGCAATGACAATCAATAGACACTGAACTGAGAGAGAGAGAGAGAGAGAGGGACCAGAAGATCTACAAATGCCACCAACAAATGAGACGTGTGTGTGTGTGTGTGTGTGTGTGTGTGTGTGTGTGCGCACACTTGGGCTTGAACTCAGGAACTCATGCTTAATTTCAACTTTCTTGGGTCTCTATCACTTGAGTTCAGCATTTTGCTAGTTAATGGAGATGGAGTCTCAAGAGGCTTTTCTACTCAGGCTGGCTTTAAACCCCAATCCTTAAGGTCTCAGCTTCTTTAGTAGCTAGGATTACAGGTATAAGCCATTAGTGCCCAGTAGATTTGGGTTCTTAAAGAGGCAAAATACAAGTTTGTAATGAGGGGAATGTAACATCACCAAGACACACACAGATCTCTCTCTCCTCACTCACCATAGGACAGTCTGACATGCTGATGCCTCTTGGAATGAGGCAGACAAGTCTCACTATCACTGACAAGGGGTTTGTTTGTTTGTTTTTTGGGTCCGGTGGTGGGCCTGAACTCTGGGCCTGAGTGCTGTCCCTCAGCTCTTCAGCTCAAGGCTAGCGCTCTACCACTTGAGCCACAGCGCCACTTCCGGCTTTTTTTCTTTTTGCTAATGTGGTACCGAGGAATCGAACCCAGGGCCTCATGCATGCAAGGCAAGCGCTCTACCACTGAGCCACCTTCCCAGCCCCTGACAAGGGATTCTTGCCAAAGACACTTAACCTGGATCTAATTGAGCTTCTAGCCCCAAAGTCTCATTACTGAAAACGCAGAGGATAGTGGAACAAATTAAGTGACTGAGTGAGCAATGAAACAACCCAGAAGGCAGTGTATGTCACAGGATGACTGACCTGTTTCTTCAAACTTCAAAGGAAAAAAAAAAAAGAGGGAAGACTGTTCTAGATAGGGAATTGGCAAATTATAGGCTGTTGACCATTTACTGCCAGTCATTTGCAAATAAAGTTTTACTGGAACACAACCACTCTAGTTCATTTACATGTTGTCTATGACAGTTTATGCACTGCAACAAAACTATTCTAACTAGTGTGACAAAGACCATATGGCTTGCAAAGTCTAAAATATTTACCATCTAGCCCTTTACAGAGTCTAAAAACCTATGTTCTACATTAATATGTATTTGGTGGACCAAGAAGGCAGGAAAATCTTAGGACAATTGATCTGGTTTTTTCCCCGGATCACAACATCATCTACAAAAAGGAAAGTTTTCTTTTTTTTTTTTTTAATTGTGAAAATACCGCACAGAGGGGTTACAATTACATGGGCAAGGTAATGAGTACATGTCTTATCAAGCATTGTTGCCTCCTCTTTTGTTTCCCCTTCCCATCTTCCCCCTCCACCCCCCCCCTCACTCCTACCTCCGGCCAAAGTTGTAAAGTTGGTTTTTCGACATAACCTCTTGTACATCTCATTGTTGCCATGGGTCCACCTGTATCCCTATTTAAACAATTTGTTTTTTCCCTTTCCCTACACAAAGTATACCAACATCAAATACAGTGAAAATAGGGGTTATACCATGGGGGAGAGGAAAGTTTTTTGTTTTTGTTTTTGGGTCCGGTTGTGGGGCTTGAACTCTGGGCCTGGGTGCTGTCCCTCAGCTCTTCAGCTCAAGGCTAGCATTCTACCACTTGAGCCACAGCGCCACTTCCGGCTTTTTTTCTTTTTGCTTATGTGGTGCTGGGGAATCGAACCCAGGGCCTCATGCATGCAAGGCAAGCGCTCTACCACTGAGCCACCTTCCCACCCAGCCCTGAGAGGAAAGTTTTTGAGTTGGGCTCACTCCTATAATCCTAGTTATTCAGGAGGCTGAGATCTGAGGATTGTAGTTCAGAGTCAGTCTGGTAGAAAAGTCCATGACACTCTTAGCTCCAATTAGCCACAAAAAGCCACTCTTAGCTCAAGTGGTAGAGCACTAGCCTTGAGTACAAAAGCTCAGAGACAGCACTCAGAGCTAGAGTTCAAGCCCCAGGACCAGCAAAAAAAAAAAGAAAGAAAGAAAGAAAGGAAGGAAGGAAGGGAGGGAGGGAAGGGAGGAGGGAGGGAGGGAAAGAAAGAGAGAGAGAGAGAGAGAGAGAAAGAAAGAAGGAGGTAGAGGAAGAGGAGAGGAGAAAGGAAACAGGGGAATGGGTTTCTAAGTCCCATTAAGAGACATTCAGGGGATAATTGGGAAAACAAAAGCCATGGACATTAAGAAATGAGCTGAAGCTGGGCGCTGGTGGCTCACGCCTGTAATCCTAGCTACTCAGGAGGCTGAGATCTGAGGATCGCGGTTCAAAGCCAGCCCGGGCAGGAGAGACTGTGAGACTCCTATCTCCAATAAACCACCAAACCGTAAGTGGCGCTGTAGCTCAAGTGGTAGAGCACTCGCCTTGAGCTGAAGAGCTGAGGGACAGCGCCCAGGCCCAGAGTTCAAGTCCCACAACCGACAAAAAAAAAAAAAAGAAATGAGCTGAGGGGCTGGAAATGTGGCTCAGTGGTAGAGTGCTTGGCTAACATGCATGAAGTCCTAGGTTCGATTCTTCAGTAACACAAAAGTGGAGCTGTGGTTCAAGTAGTAGAGTACTATCCTTGAGGGAAAGAAGCTCAGAGACAGTGCCCAGAGCCTGAGTTCAAGCCCCAGGACTAGCAAAAAGAAAAAAGAAATGAGCTGATTTTGTTTAGTGGAAATATACTATACAGAATGTTTTTTTTTTTTTTGAGAAACGCACTGAAAGTATTTAGAGATGAGAGGCCCATGCGTGACCTTGGCTAATCCTGATAATGAAGAGAAACCACAGAGCAGCCTTATTGTCAGGGGCTGGGCCTGTCCAAGACATGAACTCAAGGTCCCCTGGGTGCTTAGAAGCCCTGGGAATGGGAATGACCTTACTTCTACTCCCACTCTCAGACAAGCCACCCATGCCCAAGCCCTGCCTCCTAAGTAGTGAGCTCACCATGTTCATCTGTCCCAGAAGGCTCCTGGGCCTAGAGAGATGAATGGAGGGGCCTGGCTCGCCTCTAGAAAGCAGGACTTGCCAGCGAGGGAACTGCTCTGAACCAGCACCATCCTCAGAGGCCTCAGGATGCAGAAAGGCAAACTCTACCCTACTCAACTCTGTCCAGGGCTGCTTGGGGTCAGTTTGCCTCCAAGAAGCCTGACCTTGGAAAGGACTTTGCCCCAACCCAGCCACTCCAGCCACCCAACTGTGGCAAACAGGCAAATGTAAGAGCCATACCTTCATCCATCCCTGAAGATCCTACTCATACACATTTCTTCAGGTGGGGGGCAGTCTCCCTAGGACTCTTCTTGGATACCTGGCTGGTGAGCAAAAGCTACTGGGAGGATTTTCCACAAAACACTCTGGTCCACTACTACAGTCCCACCCTGTCTTCCCCAACCCCACTGCCTGGTCTCTGCCTGCCTTTGCCAAGGCCATCTGACGGAAGCAATCTCCTGTCCCATTAAAGTAATCCCTATCCACACTTTAACTGAGGGCTTGCCTGAGCATATCCTTTTAAGGGAACACTCTCTTACTCCACCTCAAGTCTTAGGATAGGCCTAGAATTCTTTACAAGATTCCTATTCTCACTTCTGGATCATTCATTCAGTCTTCCTCACCTTAAAAGGGGACTGATTAGCCGGGCATGGTGGCTCATGCCTGTACTCCTAGCTACTCAGGAGGCTGAGATCTGAGGATCACGGTTCAAAACCAGCCTGGGGGACTGGGAAGGTGGCTCAGTGGTAAAGCACTTGCCTTGCATGCTCAAGGCCCTGGGTTCAATTCTTCAGTACCACATAAGAAAAAAGCCAGAAGTGGCGCTGTGGCTCAAATGGTAGAGTGCTAGCCTTAAGCTGAAGAGCTGAGGGTCAGGGCCCAGGCCCAGAGTTCAGGCCCCATGACTGGACCCAAAAAAAAAACAAAAACCAGCCTGGGCAGGAAAGACCATGAGACTCTTATCTCCAATAAACCACTCAGAAAACCTGAAGTGTCACTGTGGCTCAAGTGGTAAAGCACTAGCCTTGAGCTGAAGAGCTGAGGGATAATACCCAGGCCAGAGTTCAAGCCCCACAACCGACAAAAAAAGGAAAAGAAAGAAGAAGGGGAGTGATTGTGGTTTTGCCAAACCTTGTGTCTCCAGAGCCCAGCATAGCACCTGACAAAGCTGCTGTATTCAGTTTATACCTGTTGAATGAATGAACAATCCCCTTAGAAATGCCCAAGTATGGACCTTATTGGGCCCTCCAAGCAGATGTGGTACAATCAGGGCCAATTACCTGCAGGAACCCCCCCACCACCACCACTTCCCCAATTAATGCCCGCTCTAGAGGGCACTCCCCCTATCTCCCAGTGTGGCTTCCTTCTGGGCACACCTCTGATCTTGCCACAGTCATCTGGTTCCCTGCTCAGGCCAACCTTGAGATGGTCAGGCTGCTGAGGACGGAACCCATGTCTCCCGCTGTGGCTGGAACTTGGACAGAGCAATCACTCACGAAGTACCTGAAATCCTCTGTGAGAACATGGTTGTAGTAGGGAAAGAAGTAACTAAAGGAGCCCAAAGGAGACAGGAAAACCAAATCTCTTTCGCAACAGAGAATCTACCAGTAGCTGTCCCCTAGGAGCTAGACTCGCAGTACACAAATTCCTCATTAGAAGCAGGAAACGAGGACAACGGCCTTCTTGGCTGTAGCCATGTCCACAGAGAACTGCTAGTCTACCTTGTAGCTCCTGACCTGGCCTTGCCTCCAGGCAACCTCCTGTGCCTGCCAAGTCTTCACTGTGGCCCAAAAGCTACGCAAGCCCCCAGAGGCATGGGCAAGTCATTTCACTTCTGTGACACACAGGAATAAGCAGCAGCTTATTATCCCAGGGTTTGGTGCAGCTGTGCCTGCACCAAATTGAAAATGCGCCCACCCCACTATGCTCCCACTTCAGAACTCTGCAAAAGCAAATCCCAGAGGGCTTGGTTTCTAAAACAACAGCAATGTTCTGAAAGAGAAGCGCTGGAGAACAGGCACTTCAGGTCAATCCTAGAGGAGCCAAAGTGGCCCTGAAGGTGGACCCCAGGGACTTGAGCTCAAAAAAAAAAAAACAGCTCAAGGATTAAGGGGGCCTCCCTCCCCCTTACTATCCCTGACCTTCCACTTCTTCCACTCCCACGACAGCCAGGCCTCCAGGGAGGGCTAGAGAGATATAGAGAATGTAATCTTAGCCCCTCTACTCTAGCTGCCAACCTGCCAAGGATGAGTCCTTGGACAGTCTCAGGATGGGGAGAGCTAAAAAGCAGGAACAAAAATCTAGGGGTCTTCTGAGACTCTCAGTTCCTCTCAGGAAATATGTGGGTACCTTCTGTCTGGGGAATAGAGAGTGATACACTACAGTGCTGGCTACTGTTCAGGCTGCTCCATGCTAGGGCCCAAGCCCCAATGTGAGAAAGGGTCAGCTACTGCCTAGATATGGCAAAGGGAGCTTTTAAAACTGCTGCCTTCAGCCGGGCGCTGGTGGCTCACGCCTGTAATCCTAGCTACTCAGGAGGCTGAGATCTGAGGATCGCGGTTCAAAGCCAGCCCGGGCAGGAGAGACCATGAGACTCCCATTTCCAATAAAAAAACCACCAGAAAACCAGAAGTGGCGCTGTAGCTCAAGTGGTAGAGCGCTCGACTTGAGCTGAAGAGCTGAGGGACAGTGCCCAGGCCCAGAGTTCAAGCCCCACGACCGACAAAAAAAAAAAAAAAAAAACTGCTGCCTTCTTGCCTACCACCTCTATGCTCCAGAAGCAGTCACCAAGCCCCAAGGTGTCATAGGGTCAGGGAAGGGCTCTGTCCCCATCCTCTCAATCATTTCTCAATCATTCTTCAATCCTCATTCTCAACCTGGCAGAGGGCTTTGTCTGAGCAAAGCCAGACAAGCCACCTTCCACCCTTCCTAAGGCTTCCTGTCATCCTAGTGCTCAGTCTTGGCTTGAGAACTCAGGCCAGGCAGCACTATTCAGCTCCCTCCCCCCCATTAAAGTTCAAGTCTGTCAAAAAAACACCCCCTGAGGTCTCAGGATAGGGCCACCCACACTGGTGGCCTCTCCAGAACATGACATAGGAGTAGAACACACAGCCAGGGCACATCAAGGCTGGAGGTCCTATCAACTCAGCCTTGATCCAACTTTACTTTGTCTTCCCTCTAGCAGACCAAGGGTACAAGGATGGGTATGGGTGTCTTCTCTTTCACAAACAGGAGAGGATAAGTTTGAGCTGGGGAAGGGGTCCCACCATCCCTTCTGTCTTACCAACAAGTGCTGCCCTCTTCTTCCTTTCTTCCACTTGCCCTGCCCTCAACCATAGAGTGCTTGGACTCCTCTAGCCTCCCGACTACCCCACTACTCAGACTCGGCCCTGGGCTGGGCTGTTGACTTGGGGGTTCCCAAGAATCAAAGATCAGTCTGGATTCTGGGGATGACAGCTGCCCTTGACTTTTCGACAGCAAACTAGAGCAGAGTAATAATGCTCTATTCTCCTTCCCCGTGCCAAGGTGCAAGAGGAAATGCAAGCAGTGGCGCCCTCTGCAACCCAAGAGGGCCTGGCTAACAGAAAGACTAGTCCAAATCAGCCCTGCTGGGCTGACGCTGGGAGGGAGGGGGTCGTCGACCAAGTCCCCAGGGGCATGGGCCAGGGAGCCCGAGTACGGGACCGGTATCCTTGCCTGCCGCCATCCCTGTGGGTGTGGCACCCTCGCTCCCACCTCATTCTCGTTTTCGGTGAGGGCAGACGGAGCTGAACGTGCCTCCGACGTACCCATCCGTAGCAGCCAAGGGGTGGCTCGGTCGCTCCCGAGAGCATCCCCCGTGCTCCCGACCTCACCCCGGCTGACGCAGGAGTCTCTCGAGCCCGCTCTCGCAGACACTGCCGCCCTCCTCCCCGAGGGGTGCCGAGGCAGCCCCTCTCCCAGGCTCGGAGAGGCGGCTCTTCCAAGGTCACACCGGGAAGCGGTGGCGATCGCGGCACCGAGGGGGAGGCGACGCCCACCCCGGTACGCCCCCGTCCTCCCAGGGGCCACTGGTGTCCCCGCCACCGGCGCCCCAAGAAAAATCACCCCTTCCACGACAGCTAACGGTCACCCGTGTCCCCCCAAACCTGACATCTCCACTCTCGGGGACCGAGAATCCTCCAGGCCCAGCCCCGCCCGCGTCGCCCCCCGCCCCAACCCTTTCATTACAGCAGGTGGAGTCCCAGACACAGACGGCTGAGGACCGGGAAGGCGAGGAGCGGAATCGCGGCGAGCAGGACCGGACTGGGAAGCGAGGAACGGAGGGACAGTCTCACCTTGCGGGCGCACCCCGAGGCCGAGCCAGGAAAGGAAGAAAACTGCGGCGGCGGCGGCGGCGGTGGCGGCGGTGGCGGTGGAGGCAGCCCGGGCTAACGCCGAGCACGAGGAAGGGAGCCCCGCGCCGCGGCCGCCCGCCTCCCGACACGCCCCCGCCTCCGCTCATTGGTCGACCTGGGGGTGGGGCGAGGGCCGCTTCAGACCAATGAACTGGCTCCAGAGAATGACCAATGAGCGGAGTGCTACCCTACGTCAAGAGCAGGGAACGCTGAGGCTGCGCCCTGCCATCCCACGTCTGCGCGGGGGCCTCGCGTCTTCTCGCGATGAAGTCTGCCAGGCAGCCCTTGGTACCCCGGAGCCGGAATCCCACCAAGCGAACCCCAGGAAGGAGTTGCTGCTCGTGTACGCCCCGCTCTATCGTGCCTTCTGTTATGGAGTCTGCACCTTCTGCTTGGACGGGGTCTCCCCTGGGCCCTGCCCTAAGGGCAGGCCTCACGTTAGTCTTGTCCGGTAGCTGGGCCGGGCGAACCTCGGGTCTTGGCTTCTTCGTCCACCCCAGTCCTCTGCCACACGGACCGGGAACGAGTCCTGCGAACCCGGCCCGGCCCAGACAAGCATCGCGCAGGGTGGAAGCTGGAGAGCCCGCGCGGGGATCCCCAGGGACCGCGGCCTCTGCTCCGGGTTTTGGTGGAGACGGTTGCCATGGTAGCGGGATGCACCGTGTTCAGTCCCGCGGGGTGTGTCAGGGCGCCCTCCACAGAGCCCGGAAGCGAGGCGTGACCTCCGGGTCTCCGGAGAGGGGTTCTTGTCGCAGTTCCCCACGCCGGTCGATAATCGTCCTCCCCTCCCTGCGTATTCGCGGGCGGGGACAGTCTCCCTAAAGTGCCATCCAGCTTCTTCCAACCTAGCTAGTAGAGGGAGAGAGGACTTAGACGGCTGAGGACCAGCCTTCTTTCCGAAGGCAGAGGGGTCGCCCTCTTTGAGGAGTCCTCAAGGGGTGCACTCTTCACTGGATCCCTGTGCCCCACCCTACCCCCAAGCGATCTCCTGCATATTGTTTTGGCAACTTAATCGTTCTGAGCGATTGCTTCCGTAGAGTCCTTCTCATGCTCCCAAGTGCTTTGTGCTCCTGGATTGTCTCCCACAGAGCGTCACAAACTTGAGTGGTATTTTGCATTTTGGAGTGATTCGTGCGCTCTCTGGCGTTTGAGAAGGCTCTGGGCTCCAGCGCGGATGTTAAGAAGTTCCCACATTCTGTCCCCAACCCACCTATTCCTGCCCACTCACCACCACCCACTCCCACCATTCCATGCACTTCGATATATATCCCCCATGTATTCATATCTACTTCTTCCAAGTTGGCAGACAGTAGAGCCAAAGTAGCATTCAGATGTTTTTCGTTTAGTCCACATAAGGCTCTTAAAAATAATTTTTCCTCCTCTCTTCCTCTCCCCTACCCTTCTCTCTCCTGCTCCATGTCCTCCTTATCCTCTTATTTTTTGTCCTTTCTTACAAAAGCATTATTTTGAAATAGCTGAAGATTTAATAACATGAACTTTCATTCCAGCCAGGTGCCAAAGGCTGACATTTAGAGCTGCCACTCCATTTGCCATAGTCCCCACCAATTCCTGTTTCTCATGTAAATTTTACTGTCTGGGTCTGTGAAGATGGTTGATTTCATGACTTCTTCCTTCTCCTTGTGCTGCTTACTTTCCTGGAAATTCACCTTCTTCAGCTTCTACAACACAGACTAGCTGCTAACAGTCCACTTCAGGAGACCATTTCCAAATCAATCTCCTTTCAATAAATATTTACTGAATGTATCTAACAGTCAAGTTTCTGTGCTGGGCTATGTGGAATGTTGTATGGTAGGGACACCACAAGAAAGAATTGTTGTCTCCTGTCTCTGCCAAAAGTTTTCACATTCTTGGACTCTGAGCAATCTGGCTAAGCGGGGAGGATCTATAGTACAGAGCAGACATAGTATCTCCTCTCCAGAAGACCTCTGGGGAAAGCCAGACTTTTAGTGGCAGGAGGAAGTCAGGATAGAAATTATATGGCAGCCAGGCGTTGGTTCCTCATTCCTGTAATCCTAGCTACTCAGGAGGCTGAGATCTGAGGATCGAGGTTCAGAGCCAGCCTGGGAAGGAAGTGAGTCTTATCTCCAATTAACCATCAGAAAACCAGAAGTGGCTCTGTGGTTCAAAGTGATAGGACCCTAGCCTTGAGCAAAAGAATGCAGGGACAGCCTCTAGGCCTTGAGTTCAAGCTCCATGGCCAACCAAAAAGAAATTGCATGGCTACTCCATGGTTGCATGGTGATCCTGTGTGCCAAGAAGAGAGTGCCCAGGACTAGGGACTTCCTGTGCAAAGAGTCTTATAGAGTAGCAGAACTCAATATTAAGTTACAAGTCCCCATCAGGCTCCCTGGAATTGGGGGCAGTATAAGAGGGAATTAGGAGCAACTCTAGGTTAGGAAAACACAGTACATGGAAAACATGTTTGGGCTCCAAACTCTTTTTTTTGGGGGAGGGGGAGTCCGGTTGTGGGGCCTGAACTCTGGGCCTGGGCACTGCCCCTCAGCTCTTCAGCTCAAGGCTAGCACGCTACTTCGGCTTTTTTTTTTTCTCCTGCTTATGTGGTGCTGAGGACTCAAACCCAGGGCCTCATGCATGCAAGACAAGCGCTCTACCACTGAGCCAACTTCTCAGCCCTGGGCTCCAAATTCTTAACTCTATTCTTTTTAATAATAAACTATAATCTCCTTAAAAAACTGCTTAGTGATATGTAATAAAATTGGTACATACCAACCTTATTACCCAATGTATACCAGAAGAGAGACAAACTTTTCTGGCAAAATTTTAAAAATTTTATTAGTGTATATTAATCGTACAAAGGGGTCATGGCAGCATTTGTTAATAGCTCTAAACTGGAAAGTATCCAAATTTACTCATAAAATGAATCAATTGCAGTAGTTGAGCACTGGTGGCTCATGCTTTTAATTCTAGCCACTCAAGAAGCTGAGATCTAAAGATTGTGGTTCAAAGCCCACCACTGGCTGTCACATCTGAGATACTCTTATCTCCAATTACCTGGCAAAAAGCAGAAGTGTAGAGCATCAGCTTGAGTGGTAAAGCATCAGCTTTGAGCAGAAATAGATATAAGGCCCTGAGTTCCAGCCCCAGTACTGACACAAAAAAATAGATTAATAGGGCTGGGAATGTGGCTTAGTGGTAGAGTGCTTGCCTAGCATACATGAAACCCTTCAGTACCATATAAACAGAAAAAGCCAGAAGTGGTGCTGTAGCTCAAATGGTACAGTGCTAGCCTTGAGCAAAAGAAGCTCAGGGACAGTGCCCAGGCCTGAGCTCAAGCTCCAGGCCTGGCAAAATAATAATAAATTGTTCTATATTTGTATGATGGTAAATATCTGTGACAACATACCTAATACATGCAACAACATGATTTTCAGGTAATATTGACAAAACACTGGTCATTAAATAATACATGTTCCACTAGTCTATTCCATATTTTTTGGTTAACTTATGTATTCATTTTTCTGAAGCATATATCTAGGAATTGCTGGGACAGTACTGTGTTTCTTTCTTTCTTTTTTGGTCGGTTGTGGGGCTTGAACTCTGGGCCCGGGCACTGTCCCTCAGCTCTTCAGCTCAAGCCTAGTGCTCTACCACTTGAGCCACAGCGCCATTTCCGGTTTTCTGGTGGTTGAGATAAAAATCCCACAGCTTTTCCTGCCTGGGCTGGCTTTGAACCGTGATTCTCAGATCTCAGCCTCCTGAGTAGCTAGGATTACAGGCGGGAGCCACCGGCACCCAGCTATGATAGCTTTCTAATGTGTCCACTTTGCTAGCTTGGACAGCATTTTCCAAATTCCCTTCTCTGTGTGTTTCCAATTAGGGCAGACCACAGTGGACATTTTTTGAGTGAGGTTTGAAGATGGAAGAAAAGAGCAGGAGCTATACAGGATCTGACATTTGTAAGCTCCAGGCAGGAACTTTGTAGCCCACGCACTTTGCTGCTGATCTGCTGATTTACCTCATGTGGGGGAGCAGCTAGGCCTACATGGACTCAGCTTTTCCCTCCATCTTCCTTTACTTTTCTGACTCCTGAGTCAGATGACAAAGAAGACAGCTTCTTCCTCTGTTCACTCACATCATCAAGATTGGAGGCAGTAAAAGCTGACATGAATTTGTTTGTTCTTAAGACTTCTATGACTTTTTTTTCCTAATCCTGGTGCTTGAACTCACAGCCTGGGTGCTGTCCCTCAGCATTTTTGTTGAAGGCTAGCACTCTATGACATGAGCCATAGCTCCACTTCTGGCTTTCTTCAGGTACTTGAGTGGAGGTGAGTCTCGTGGATTTTTTTGCCTGGGGTGGCTTAGAACTGTGATCCTCAGATCTCAGCCTCCTAAGTAGCTAGGATTACAGGCATGAGCCACGGCACCCAGCAAGACTTCTATAACTTAGGCTCATGAATTCCATTTTGTTCTTTCTGTCCCCCACTTTATGTACACATTTCCTTTCCAACTTGTAACCTGTGAACTGTAAATTCCAGTATTAGATGCACAAACGAGAGCTTTGCCAGAGACTTGTTAAGCAGCCCCCACAATTACCTGAAGTGAAATCTTTTAAAGAAATCCTTTTCTGGATTGGCTCAGTGGTAGAGTGCTTGCCTCACAGGCATGAGGCCCTGGGTTCAATTCCTCAGCTCCACATAAGCAGAAAAAGGCGGAAGTGGTGCTGTGGCTCAAGTGGTAGGGGGTTAGCCTTGAGCTGAAGAGCTAAGGGACAGCGCCCAGGCCCAGAGTTCGAGCCCCATGACTGAAAAAGAAATCCTTTTCTGGGGCTGAAGCATGGCTCAAATGATAGAGAAACCTGCTTAGCAAATATGAGGCCCTGAGTCCAAACTCCATTGTCTAACTAATATAACATAGGCACTAGTTAATAATAGGAAATTGCCAAACTGTTATCTGAAATGTTTGCATTTATTTAAACTCCCACTAGCAGAATATGAGAGTTCCAGTTTCATCCCACCTTTATCAACAAGTGGAAATTAGTAATTAATTTTGTGGAAACATTACACTATGTAAAACCAGACAAAGCAAAGCAACAATCCACAGTCTTCAGCCTCTACTTGTACAGAATAAGTTCACAACATCAGGAATATAAACACGTATTATTTTGTTGTTGTTGTTCCCATACTAGGGCTTGAACTCAGGACCTGAGTTTTTTCACTCAAGATTACTGCTCTGCCAGGAGCTGGTGGCTCATGCCTATAATTCTAACTACTCAGGAGACTGAGATCTGAGAATCCCTGTTCAAAGCTAGCCAGAAAGCCTATTTCATGTGGCCAAAAGGAAACAAAGGATGTTTTCAGTATACAGATATGGGAATATTTTATAGTAGTTTTCCAGAGAAACAGAACTGTTAGAGAAGAGAGAGAGAGAGAAATTACCTTTATAAGGATTTGGCTCACACAATTATGTAGATTGGCAAGTCTGAAGACCTGCAAGGTGAGTTGGTAAGTTGGAGACCCAGGAGAGCCAACAGTTCAGTTAGATTCAGTTAACCAAGTCCAAAGGCCTGAAACCAGGAGATCTGATGGTATAGTTCTAGTCCAAAGGTCGGCAGTCTTCAGACCCAGCATGAGCCAGTATTTCCATTTGAGTCTATAGGATGAAAGCTGATGGGCCAATTCAGAGGCCACTAGACACTAGGGATTCTCTTATAATTCAGGGAAGATCAAACTTTCAGTTCTATTTAGGCTTCAACTGATGGGCTGAGTCCCATCCAAATGAGTAAGGAAGGAAACTGAGGCAGGAAGATCTCAAGTCTGAGGCCAGCCTGGCTTGCACAGAAAGAAAAAAGAGGGGCCAAGCACTAGTGGCTCACACCTGCAATCCTAGCTACTCAGGAGTCTGAAATCTGAGAATCACAGTTCAAAGCTAGCCAGAAAGTCTATGAGACTCTTCTCTGCAATTAACCACCAAAAAATCTAGAAGTGAAGCTATGGTTCAAGTGGTAGAGGACTAGCCTTGAACAAAAAAGTTCAGGCACAGTGCCCAGGCCCTAAACAAAAAAAAGGACTCAGCCAAACTCAGACTCTTGACCCACAGAAAAATGTGAGATAATAAGCATGTATTGTGTTACACCTCCAAGTTAGTAGTAATTTGTTATACAGTATTAGATAACTAATACAGATTCTTTTCAGTTCTCTTTCTAGTACAAGAGTATTGCTATGAAAATTATTGTAGTGTCTCTCAGAACAAAGAACACAAGAGTTTGTTTCCCATGGGTATACTCTGAGTATATGCCTACAAATGGAATTTCCAGATCTCAGAATTTATTAATATAAATTACCAGGTCAAGGCTGGGGGTGGGTGGCTCACGCGGTAAACTGCCTAGAAGGTATGAGGCCCTGTTCAAATCCCAGTATCACAAAAATAAATCAACAAAAGCCAGAATTAAGGTCAAACCATGGCATAGTGGCTTGGATAGTTTGGTCCACAAAACTTGAGATCAGTGCATGGGCAGGTTTGGAGTCATATAGAAGTCCAAGTTAAGGGTCTATCCATGTTGAAGGCAAAGATGTGGCAACAGTTGGGGAAATCTGAAGCCTGTGTTTGGTGTTGGTTTTCAAAAAGGTTCGAGGACACTATGTTGGGGGTAAGGGATAATCTAAGCCTGGGTTAGAAGTTAGGGTGCCTGTTACCCTAGTTACACAGGAGACTGAGAGCTGAAGATCATGGTTTGAAGCCCACCCAACTCTTATCTACAATTAATCACCAAAAAGCTGAAGTAGCTCAAGTGGTAGAGCCCCAGTCTAAGGGAGAGTGCCCAAGCCTTGGGTTCAAGCCCCAGTACACACACACACACACACACACACACACACACACACAGAAATCTACTAAGCTGTGGGCATACAGGACTGACTACCCACAAAGTAAGACCACTTCTGGATCCACAAGGCTCTTTCACTTAAGGGGGTGAACAGGTGAAGACAGGTGTGGGTGGGAGGAGGACAAGGAGAGCAGGAACTCGCGTCTGTAGGGATCCAGAAAGAGAAGGCAGGAACAGGAAAAGTATGCCACCTTTAATGGGGGCAGTTCCATCCATATCCCCCAGACACTCCCAACAATATGTGTGATCGAGAAGGGAAAGAGGAGGAGAAAGGGAGGTGGGGGAAGAGGAAGAAGAAGAATAGGGAAATCGCTACAGGCACTGTGGGATGTCTTCACTATTCCTGGCTGGTTCGACTCCTCACCCCTGCCTCTCCAGCTGCTGTGGTCTCCAGCCCAAGGAGGGGTCCCAAGTGAGCACCCAAGAGGGGCAAGGGAGCCCCTCGGTTTGCGGAGGTAGTTTCCCACATGATTGCGAGTGTAGAGAGCCATCCTGATATGAAACGCAGCTGCTGTCCTCGGAGCTGGGTAGTGACTCGGCCCTAGGGGTGTGGGCAGAGCCAGGGGACCGCCTCCCCCCAAGGCCTAGCGCAGGGAGACTCAAGGCGGGGCCCCAGGTGTTGGGCACCGCTTTGCTGCGGGGCAAGCCGGGTCTCCGCCCGTGGCTCCTGGGCTCTGGAAAGTGGTCCATTTTCCTGGTCCGGGTGGAGCGTAATGAGGTGGCTCAGTCCAACCCCACCCCCCAACTCACCCCCATACCCAGGCAGGGAGGAGCTCCGGGCGCTGGAGGCTCGCGCGAGCAGCTGGCTCCACCCTCCTACTCGTGCGTCGTCGGAGGGAGGGTCGTAGCATCCGGGCGAGGAAAAGGGGGCCCCCCGAGCTGCCCGGGCCCACGTCGCCGCTCACCGCTGCTTGCGCTCGGCCTGCTGGAGCCGCCGGGAGAGGTCCTCGATGCGCACGTTCTTGAGCTGGAGCAGGTGTTCCAGACGCTTCACCTTCATCTGCAGGACCTGGGTGGCAGCGCCAGGAAATCGAGCCCAGCTGCTGGCTGCCCCTGTCTCTACAAACCCACTCCCCAAATCCTCGCTCCCCAGCTTTCCTGGGGCGCCCTCACCTGCACAGTCTCCTGCGAGGCCAACAGCTCCTGCTCCTTTTCAGCGATCTGGAGGACGAAGCTTGGGTCGCCCTGCAGCGACTGGCTATACCCAGGAGGACGAGGCGCCGGCGGTCGGCTCCCCCTGGAGTGGAAAACAGCTTAGCACTCCCCGGAACCTTGGGTGCCACCCTCACCTTTCCACTGCCAGCAGCCAGGCCCTCCTTCGTTACTTTCTCTTGTTGTCTCGCCAGTGCCCTACCTTCCCTTGCACAGCCAGCCCCTCCCCCTCCCCTTCCAGCCTTGTGGGGGGAGGGGAGGTGGGGAATGGGCGGGATTATTAAAACTGGTGAGGTCAGAACTCCCAGCTGCTTTACCTGAGCTGCCCTCCTCCCTGGGGTTCCGGGGCACCCTCCCCTCGGGCCTTCTGGGGCAAACCTGAGACAAAACAAGTGGAGGTGTGACCTTGCTGAAAGTCCTAGTCTCTTGTCTCCCCCTGACCCTCAAAGTGATGAGAAAGACAGGAGGAAACTTTTCCTGGGGCACAGAAGGCGGAAAGGACACCTTACCCATATCCATATAGCCACTGCTATCCTGAGGTGCCAGCTCCTGAAAGAAACCCCCCCATGGTCTACTGTGAGCCCAGGCCTACCCATCCCCAGGGAATCCCTTTGAGTGGGATTTCTTAGGCACACCCTACTTCTATCCCACACACATCCCCAAGACAAAGCATTCTGCTGCCTGGGAAGCCCTGGTGCCCCAGTAGCAGGAAACAATGCCCACAACTCAGAGTGGCACCTGTAAGGAGCCCGTGCCCTGCTTCCTGCGCCTCTGCCGCTCCTCCAGGCGCTCCCTCAGCGGAATCAGCACCAGCTCCACCACACCAGGGGCACACTGGGCAATCTTGCGCATCACATCATCTGGCACCGAGAAGTTCAGCTTGTTCAGCACCTTCCTATGGGGTAGGTCAGGGAAGACATACTGGATCCTATTGGGAATAAAGCCAGGACTTCATGGGGAAGGAGGAAGGGATACAGTGGTGCAGTCTATGAGCCTGCAGCCCTGGGAAACTGAAAGGGAAAGTATCTAAGCCCTACTCCTTAGGTGTTCTTAGGTTCCCTTCTGTCTCCTTCTATATAAGAGTTCTTTGATTTTGTTACTAGATAGATTCTGTTTGGGCTGGTCCTCCACACTCTGCCACCAGGAGGGTCCCTGTTTAGGTGTTAAGTCCATAGAAAGTAAAAGGGCTGAGGTAGTTCCTGGAACTCCAGTGGGTGTTGGAGAGTCCCATTCCTGCACCCAGGTATTATGCTACCTGTTGAGGTGACCCCAGTTGTTGAGCTTCTGCTGGAAAGAGTTGGCAGGGACATAATTGTGCATCTCCACCATCTTGGGGAAGTAAAACTTGATGACTTCTGCAACCAGGACTGAAGAGTATACATAGACACAGAAGGTGGGGAGAAAACAATGGGAGAAGAGGAGGGTAAGGTTGAAGAAGCAACAGGGTGGTAGAACCCAGTAGAGATACAAAAAGGTGAAGGACTACAGGGAAGGAAACAAAGGCAGATCAGGAATCAAACTAGGACATAGTACACCTCAGAGAAGTTGCATCCCTTCCCCCATTAACTCAGGGCATAGCAATACTGAAAATGAGTCTCTAAAGAGAGCTCTTCAGAAGCCTGTGTGTCTCTCCACCTTAGGAATTCACACACACACACACACACACACACACACACACACACACACACACACTGCCCAAAGTCCCAGGAGAATCACACAGATTGTCTATTTGTCTCACAATTAGAGATCCTTGTACAGATATACATACAAGGCAGAATGTGTAGATACATAGGAAAAATACATGCCAGACATGCATGTACAAAAAATATATATTTCTGTCATTGAAAGCCCAGGAAACATTTCTGAAACACAGATACTTACATAATCACAAGGAAACACATAGGCACACAAGACTCCCTCAAACACATCCAAGACAGAGTATGTCAGCACATATATGAACACACATATGCTCAGACTCCTACAAGACACATCTATAGAGCATACAATGATAAGCAGATGCATACAGAGATGCAGTAATACATACACCTAAATTCAAAGTCCCTGGAGGGATGGACACACAAACACACACGCACCACACACACACACCCCTCATATGCATATATGAATAGGAAAAGAGTAGGCTACACATGAAAACGCATTGTTCACACAGAAATACAAACAGAAATGACACACAAAAGTCCACACTTTCACAACTGAAATCCTAAGACACATAAGAATAAAAGACAGTATGCACACAGACCCCTCACACATACATTCAATACAGAACACATAGGAACACTCAGAGGCACACACCTCCATCACTGAAGTCCCGGGAGAGGTTTCTCTTGGGCCGGGATAGAGGGATGTTGTCTACCCACAGGTAGAGCTGGTGCAGGGCCTCTTCGTCCACGCTGCTTGCCATTTGTGTCCTCAGTAAGGCCAATCGTACCAGCTAGATAGAGTTCAGCACCAGCCTCACAACTCCTCAAGCAACTCTCTTGCCGCTGCTCCACAGCCGGCTTTCTGTTCTGACTCTGCCTGCCTCACGCAGAGACTCGCCTCCCATCTGGGAGCAGCCATATTGTTTTCTGAAACCATGGCAACCATCACCTAGTCGACTGGGAGCAGAGATTTCTGGGAATTGTAGTTTTTCCCTCACCACCTCCTTTGGAGCCCCAGCTTTGAAGACAGGTGTGTTTTATTTCCCCTCTTTCCTAAGAAAGGGTCACTTCTGCACCCAAAGTATTCGCTAGCCAGCTACTGACCCAGTCTTGGATCTTCCAAAGTCAACCAGGCCCTCAGAACCCTTACACCAACCAGTGTCCCTTGAACTGGAATCCCCCTTCTGTGACCTTTAGGTGTCAGTCCTAAATGGAAGCAGCATACCTGTTTCCAGTTTTGCCTGCGGGGGGTGGGGGGGGGAGGTGTCCATTGTTAATAATCTGCTACCAAACTATGTGATAAGCTGTGTGCTTCCTTACTGGATCCCTCGGCATACAGCCTCTATCCCAGCAGTTGGTTTTGGTGTGGTATGCAGTATGTAACTCAGACTTCAAGGGAGCACCAGCGTTCAAGGAAATATCTTAAACTCTGGCATGTCATGTAATGCCTTTACTCTACTTCCTCCCTTGTGAAATGGGAACAATTCTCGTTTACTTGTCCCTATGGAGTAATGGGGGAAAGTTACAATAAATTCATACTGATATAAGACCTGTATTTGAATGAGTTGGACATGGGAGCCAGTTATAGGTATAGAAGCAGCAAAAGCTCCTGTAGATACTCCCATATTCCTTGTCTTTGACATCCTCATCTTCATAGCATTATCATGGATTAGGATTTCAGGTAACCCTGTTTTAAGTCCCTGCCTTGTGCAAGGATACAGAACAGCTATAAAGGGGTACTTATAGATCCAGCCTGAGGAGAAATTTTGCTTCCAACTAATGGTATAGGATTGGACAAATTGCTGAATATTCTTCTTTTTGTCAGTTTTCCCTACCCTTCTCTACCTTATAGGGGCTCTGTGGAGCACCTGATAGTTATGGCTCAGTACACATCAAGGACCCTATTAGTATCATCAGCTTATGTTGTCATTAGTGAGATCATCTCAGTTCCAGCAAGAGTAGTTGTTGGTAAGAGACAGATGAAAGTGATTTGTCCTGTTGGTACTTTGAGATAAGGGACTTGGATTAGTCAAAACTTAAGGAGACTGCTAAGCTTCCTCCTGCCTTCTCTAGAGCAGGCCCAGGTCATCAGCTGGACTTCTTTTTTTTTTTTTATTTTCTGTTCTCCTAGAGTTTGGATTGGGAAAGAGGGAAAGCTAAGGGGAATCCCAACTCCTTTTTATTGTCACTTTGCTTCAAAACTTTGAAGGTTTTGAAGTGCTAGAAGTTCAGAAGGCCAAGAGTGGAATTTACCACACTTCTTGTTTAAAAGTCACGCAAATGGCCTTACTTTTCTGGAAGGGACATACCCTCGGCAGGCCAGGGACAAAAGAGGACCTGGATATCCCCCACCCCCTAACATTCCATGGTGGGGAGGAGGAACTTGGTGACTAGGGGGTGGTGAGGGGTTGGGAAGGAGGCGATATGCCAGCTCTTGGCAGGGTAGGAAAACCGGTTTGGGGATCAGGGTTCCTTGCCCTGTGCAGGCTCAGTCCCTCCCCTAGCTGGAACCACTGGGGCTAGAGGGCCTCAGAGAGGGAGGGTTCCACAGGGAAGGGACTGGCCCTGAAAGGAGAAAGGTAAGACTGACAAAGGACCTGTCTTCACCTATGGACTGGGTAGTGGGGGGCAAGTGGGGAGTGAGGCTTTGGAGGGCACAGCACCCGAGTTTCCAACTCCTCAGCCTCTTGGGGGTGCAATCTGTTCACAGTAATTTCATCTTCCTTTTGCCAAGGGCCCTTGTGGCAACTAGGCTTGAGAATGACAAACAAGGCCTAAAGGGTTGCCTCAAGGTAAACCAGAGTTCCCTGTAGGCTCCTCCAACTCCAAGTTGGCTCTCAGGAGCCAACACTTAAAACAGGCCCTACATCTTCCCGCTCCTTCCAGGACCCTTTTTAACCAATCTTGACAGGCCTGGTCCTTGGGTGTATTTTGCCTGATTTGGCCCAGAAGAGATTGTTGGCTTCTTTCCTCCTGCCCCAGAAAAGTGACCCAAGCTTCTCTCTACCCCCAAAGTACTAGAACGCTAGGGTTCCTCCGAGATGAGTACACTCAAGATCTTCCCTCCCCAAGCCTTTATAGCATTTAGACATCGGTGTCATTGGCTGAGCCCCTCACCCCTGTGAGGGCCACCCGGGCAACCCTTGCTTCCATGTCACATCAGGGCAAGGACCAAAGGGAGTCGGGAAAGAATGTGTCCCCAAGACAGACGCAAGCCCAGACCATGAAGGATGCACCCTTGGCTGTTAAAACGTTCACCCCCACAAAAGGGGAGTGGACAGATTTATTGAATTCAATCTGGGAAAGGGAGCAGCTGGGTGGCTGGACTCTGGGCTCAGCCCCAGGCCCCTCTGCCCAGGATGGGACCCTGCCAGAGAGGGATGAGAGGCATGAGGCCTGCAGCTGACCACAAGGGAGGTGCCCACCATCACTCTCCTGGAGGGCCTTTTGGAAACCTCCAATCTGGAAAGAAAACCAAGGGCGGCCAAAGTCACACAGACTAGGCCAGAGAAAGGGATTAAGGGGGTGGAAAGCAGGCAGAGGCAGGCTTAGGAGCCTACAGTAAGTTAGACTGTGCTTCTTGAAGCGACCCAGGGTGGGTGTAAGGGGCTGCCAGCCTTGTGGGGGCCTAGGCTGGACCTTCCTCTGGAGCCCTTCCCAGAATGGCTTTGGGGTTCCCCCTACCAAAGACCTGGTTGGATGGTAGGGGGGAGAGGCACTCTCTGGCCAGGAGCTTCCAGGGCCTGTCCCTGGCTGCTGCTGTGGTCTAGTCCACTGATGGCATGGTGTGGTAGCACCAGACAGCTCCCCACCCACCCCACCGGGTCCCCCAAGCCCAGGGGCAAATGGGGAGGAAAGAGGATTCTGAGAAAGAGGCAATAAACAGGCATTGAGGTGGACCTAGCCCTGGGACTGTCTCAGGGCCAGAGGAAGCCATTACTCAAGGCCCTGGGGCTCCCCCCTCTAGCTCCATCTATAGCGGCTGCCTAGAGAGGGTTCTCTGCCCTAGGCTGGTGCTGCCCATCTGGGTCAGGGACACAGCTATGCCCAGCAGCTCAGCTTTGATGTCCAAGACCCCGAACTCCTGCCTGCCTGGCATGGTTCTTCCTGGTCACATGGACCAGATCATGTTCCAAGTGGAGGATGTGGCTCTGTACCCGGTCGTCGATAGGAAAGGAGGTCAGGTACCTCTTGACCATGGCGAAGTAAGCCATGGCCTCCCCGAAGCTGGGTACAGGCACCTCATCGCCGTCTTCATCATCATCATCGTCTTCGTCTTCCTCATCCTCCTCCTCATCTTCCTCTTCGTCTTCACTGTCTGAGTCAGAGTCCTCCCCACCTTCCAGGAAACGAAGGGTAGGGCACTGGGCCTCCTCCTGGGCACTGTAACCCCCGAAGCCACCACCGGCCTCTACTACTCCCTGGGCCCAGTCCTCAGCCTCTAAGCCCTCTGAAGAGCTCTCCTCTTCGTCCTCTTCCTCCTCTTCATCACTGTCATCAACATCACCCTCCTCCTCCTCCACCTCCTCCTCTTCTCCCAACTCCTCTCCTTCCCCTGCTTCCTCTTCTTCCTCCTCCTCGCCTTCTTCCTCCTCTTCCTCTTCCTCCTCCTCCTCCTCTTCCCCTTCACCCTCCTCTTCTTCCTCCTCCTCTTCCTCTTCCTCCTCCTCCTCTTCCTCTCCCTCACTCTTGAGAGAAGCAGTAATGGTGGCATTAGGGCCACCCCCAAAACCCGCCTCACGAAAACAGGTGGCTATGTCCGAAGGTTCCACTGCTTGCCAGGCCGCAGCCACGAAGTGCAGGGCCTCCATGAGGCCCAGCTGCAAGCCGGAGCGATCCTGGCCCTCCAGCGCTGCCATAGCCTTGAGCAGCATAGCCTGGCGGTAGTGGCCCTTCACCTGTTGGACCACTCCCCGCTCCAATGGATGCACAGTGCCCGGAGGAAAGAAGGCCAGCTGCACGTGCCGCAGGCCTGAAGTGTCCAGGGACTGGGCAGCCAAGCGGCCAGCCAGCAGCAGGACCCGGCGAGACTCTGCGGCCATTCGAGCATCCAGGGCCTTCAAATACTTGGCCAAGGCCTGGGTAGTGACACCACCCTTCGAGTTGGCGGTGTAGTCACAGGGCAGGCCACCTTGGCTGGCACGAGGCTTGGCCGACTTGCCAGCCACCAGCGGGGGCAGCTTCTCGCTGCCATCGGCATTGGCGCACAGCAAGACACTCAGGCGCTGGGTGGCTTGGCGCGCCCTTCCATCCCCTCCGCACAGCCCCGCGGCCTGGTCCGACAGAAAGTCGTACCACAGACTGGTCTCGGTGGCACTGAACACGTCCTGCGAGGCGTAGCCCTCGGCCACCGACGGCGGCTGCTCCTCCCGCGTGCGCCAGCCCGGTGTGCTCCCACCGCTGCCCTCAGAGGGCACCGCGGCCGGGCTGGCAGGTGCCGCTGGGGTCCGGGGGGTGGCATTCCGCCCCCTGGCTCGGGCCACGCCGCTGCAGGACACTACCCCGTGGCGCCGGCGGAAGCGGTCCAGCCAGCCATTGGAGGCAGTGAAGTCGTCCATGCCCAGCTCCTCGGCTATCCGCAGAGCCTTCTCCTTGAGGATGATGCCCTTGACGGGCAGGCCGGCGGCGCGGATCTGCTGGAACCAGGCGATGAGCAGCCCCTCGAGCTTGTCGTAAGGGGACAGCTTGTTGGTCTTGCGGCAGGTGGAGGCCACCCCGTACTTGCGCTCCGACGCCAGGATGGCGCGCTTGTTCTTCAGGATGGTGCTCAGCGTGGACGGCGGGATGTTGAAGCGCCGCGCGATCTCGCCCTTGCGC